AGTAGCCCGAGGTCAAGGGATAGTGTCCAGAGTACTGTCTGTCAGACAAAAAAAGTAAGGGGGGATCCAGTGCTCATTAGGTTAAAAAATATGTGCCTGGGCATAATTAGTACTTACGAACACGCCTTTCATTTCATTATAAACAACTCCTTTGAGCGTGAGTGCTGACTGGGGTTTATTTAAGTCTTCTGGCTCTAACCGCCATCCTTCTTGCCTAGTAAAGGAAATATGCCATGAGTTATTATGAGAGGAATCTCGCATACATGAAATCAAGCTTTTCTAGTTTCGGAAAGAAGGCAGCATCGGCGTAGACAGAAAGGAGATTTTGGAAGTCAACGTCATTCATTGTGCTGAAGGGGTACATGGTCCAGTCACTAGCTAAAAGAGTAAATTTGAATGTCAATTCGGACTGCGCGCACCTGTCATTGCGTTCATAAAGGTTGCCTGGCTGCGGCGAAGCATTTTGAAAAAGGGATCTCGAACTGGATACTTTTCCGAACCGCAGAGAACAGTATGCTCCAGTATGTGTGAAACACCGGAACTGTTTTTTGGTGTTGTTCGAAACTGGACGCTGAAAAAAAAAATAGTGTCTATTTGCACTCCTTGTTAGGCTGGGTTACAAATGTGTTACAGATTAGAACAGTTAAACAGACCTGGCGGAAAACAGAGGAATAGGGTGAGCGCTACAGAAGTTGTTCGACAGTTTAAATCTAAACACACATCCTATATACATCAGTTTTCTGACATTGACTCAACATAAATATTAGCTAGAAGCCCAGACACATTTACCGGCGTTTCTGCAACTGTGTGTATCAACTCGCAGCGTTATGGGGTCACCGGTGAATTACCAGGGTCCCGTGTAGTTTCTGGTACGCAGACACCAAAAATGAATTTCGACTAATAATATCTAAGATTATTTAGAAAGGAATTGGCATGCATATCAAAACTTTTTGTATTTGTCACATGCGTACTGTTGGGATTTACGTTATAGCTTCAAATTTTTCGGCAATTAAAAGTTCGAAAAATGACTTAGAAAAATAGTTACCCAAAATTAATCCTGATTTAAACAAACGATTGGCGGAACAACCTGAACGCAAAAATGCATAACTGATTAAAAGAGGGGTCAGTATTGCTAGACGGATAAAGGAACATATTGAAGCGTGATTCCCCAAAAGAATTATGGGAAC